TCTTTCAGTGAGAAGTAATTACCTAGGAGATTGCTCATCCAACCACATCCCTTTGTGGTATTTCAGAATGACTAAGGTTTATCAAGCTATCATTTATAACAAATCCTCAAGTTATAAAATTACTTTAATGGGTTGAAATTAATTTTAAAGCAGAAAATACAGTAATAGAAAGAAAAATACAATATCATAGTGTAATAGTTTAGGAAGGTTTTTTGTGGGTTTTTTTTTTTGAGAAACCTTTTTTCCCCCTGATATTTATGTGTATACATGGAAAGGGTATTTATGTAAAATGTATTTTTTACTATAGTACACTGTCAGAAGAAGTCAACAACCTGTGTTGTATGTACAATAATTAACAACCTAAATTTTGTGTGGATCCTAAGGTTATGATGTTTTCTACCTTAAAAGGACCGTAGAGAACAAATAGTCTACTCGTAATTTTTTAGACCAAAAAACTCACATAGAGATACTAAGCATATTTTCCAAAGTATCTTAGCCAGGGAGAGGGATGAGGTAAGCCTAGAAACTACTTTCCTTCTTCCTCTATTAGGTTGATACAAGCTCCCAGCCAAATAAATTTCTTCAGTGCCTTCAGAAGGATATTAAGTCCTGAAGCTACTGTTTAAAAAGGAGCCAGTAAACTCTTGAGTGGGAATGGCCAGATAAATAAGGGCAGTGTGTGCATTTCTGATAGGGTAAAATATCAAACTAAAAATAAGCAAAGTAATTTAGGCATTTTCTTAATCTTTTAATGCAGTTTTTTCATTATAAAAGAAGTGTATGATATGAACAGACATAAAAGGAGTTACTGGCAGTAATACAATAATAATAGTGGACTTTAACACACCACTTATATTAATGGCTAGATTACCCAAACATAAAATCAACAAGGAAACGTTCGTGTTAAGCAACACATTAGATCAGATAGACTTACTAATAGATTTATACAGAACATTCCCACCAAATGAAGCAGATACTTTTGAAGTTTACATAAAACATTCTCCAGGATAGATCATGCTATGTTACAAGTATCAATAAATTCAAGAAATTAAAATGATATCAAGCATGTTTTCCAATCACAATGGTATGAAACTGGAAATCAGTTATAAGAAGACGACTAGAAAAAAACACAAACTCATGGGGATGAATAAGATGTTACTAAACAATAATGGGTCAATAAAGAAATCAGAGTGGAAATCCAAATCTTAAGAGAAATGAAAATGGAAACAAAGCATTCCAAAATCTACAGGATGCCCCAAAGCAGTTCTAAGAGGGAGGTTAAGAGCAAACTAGGCCTACCTCAGGAAACTTGAAAAATCTCAAGTAAACAATCTAACCTTACACATAAAATCATAAGAAAAAGAAGAACAAACAGAGCCCAAAGTTAGTAGAAGGAAGGAAATAATTAAGATCAGAGAGGAAATAAATGAAACAGAGACTACAAAGAGAATAGAAAAGATCAATGAAACTAAGAGCTGGTTCTCCAAAAAGATAAACAAAATTGGTAAACTTTAGCCAAAATCATCATCATCAAAAAAAAAAGTCTAAATAGAAAAGAATCAGAAATGAAAGGGAAAATATTACAAATGATATCATAGAAATTCAGAGAATCATGAGAAACCACTATGAACAATTAGACAGCAACAAATTGGACACCTAAAAAAAGTGGATAAATGCATAGAAACACACAACATACCAAGACTGAATGAGGATTCCTAGTAATGAAAGTGAATCAGAAATCAAAACACCTCCAACAAGCAAAAGTTCAGGACCAGATAGCCTCCCAAGTTAATTCTATTGAACATTTAAAGAAGAGTTAATAGATATCTTTCTCAAACTCTTGCAAAACAATGAAGAGAAAGGTACACTTTGAAACTTACTCTATGATGCCAGCATTACTCTGATACGAAAACCAGATCAAGAAACTCCAAGAAAGAGCTAAAAATGGGCCAATATCCTTGATGAACATAGGTGCCAAAATCATCAGCAAAATATTAGCCAACAGAATTCAGGTAGACATTAAAAAAACATATGCCACGATCAAATCAAAGTTATTCTGGGGATGCAAGGATGATTCAATATCTGCAAATCAATCAATGTGATTCATTGCATTAACAACATGAAGAATAAAAAGCATATGATCTTCTCAAATTACACAGGAAAGCTTTTGATGAAATTCAATGCCCATTTATATGATAAAAATTCCACATAATGGATTTAGAAAGAACACAACTGAACATGATAAAGACCACATAAGACTAGTGTACAGCTAACACCATACTCACTGGTGAAAACCTGAAAGCATTTCCACTAAGATCAAGAGCAACTCAGGGATGCCCACTCTCACCACTTTTATGCAACATAGTATTCGAAGCCCTAGGCACAGCAGAGAATCATAAGGAAGAAAAGGAATCCTAATTGGGAGAGAAGACAAAAACTGTCACTGTTTGCAGATGACATGATAGTATACATAGAAAATCCTAAAGACACCACCAATAAACTATTCAGAATTTGGGAAAGTTGCAGGACAAAAAATTATTATACAGAAATCTGTGGCAACTCTATACACTAACAATGAGCTATAAGAAAGAGAAATTAGGAAAACAATCTCATTTATAATTACATCAGAAAGAGTAAAATACCCAGGAATTAATCTAACTAAGGAGGTAAAACCCTGTACTGGATAAAACTATGACAGTGATGAAAGAAATTGAAGACAACACAAACAAATGGAAAGATAGACCGTGTTCAAGGATTGGAAGATTCCTATTGTTAAAATGAGCACAGTACCCAGGCAATGTACAGATTCAGTGTAATCCCTATGAAAATACTAATGGCGTTTTCACAGAACTAGAACAAATACTTTTGTATGAAAACACAGAAGACCCAAATAGCCAAGAAAGAACAAAACTGGAGGTATCAGGTCCCTGATGTCAAACTGCACTACAGAGCTACAGTAATCAAGACAGTAATGTCCTGGCACAAAAACAGACACATACATCAATGAAACAGGATAGAGATCCCAGAAATGAACCCGCACTTATCAACACTTAATCTATGGCAAAGGAGGCTAGAATATAAAATGCAGAAAAGATAGCTTCACCGATAAATGGTGTTAGGAAATCTGAATAGCTACATACAAAAGAATCTAACTGGATACCTTTCTCATACCATATATGAAAATAAACTAAACATGGATTAAAGACTTAAATGTAAGAGCCGAAACCCTAACAATTCTAGAAGAAAACATAGGCAGTATGTTTTTGATATCAGTCTTTTGGCTGTTTTTCGGGATACGTCTTCTTAGGCGAGGGAAACAAAAGCCAAACTAAAGAAATGTGATCTAAGTAGATGTAAAAGCTGTTGCACAGTGAAGGAAACTATCACAAAACAAAAAGGCTGCCTACTAAATGGGAGAAGATTCTTGTAGATGATCTATCTGACAAGGGGTTAATACCCAAACTACACGAAGATCAGAAAAGAAAGCTAATTAAAAAATGGGCAGAGGACTCCAATAGACAGTTTTACAAAGAAGATATGCAGATGGCAAACACACATGTAAAGATGCTTCGAACACTAATCAATAGAAAAATGCAAATCAAAATCACAATAAGATATAACCTCACACTGATCAGAATGGCTATTATAAAAATGACAAGAAATAACAAGTTCTGGGGTGGAAGTGGAGATAAGGGAACCCTCAAGTACTGTTGGTAAGAATGTCAGTTGCTGTAGCTACTGTGTAAAACATTTTGGAGTTTCTCAAAAAGTTTAAAACTCCCTGGATATTTATCTGAAGAAAAGCCAAATAGTAATTTGGAAAGATATATGCACCCTGTGCTCACTGCAGCTTTATTTACAAAAGCCAAGGTATGGAAGCAAGTGTCCATTGATGGGTGAATGGAAAAAGAAGACATGGGGTTTGTGTATGTGTGTGTGTATGTATGTATATATACACATAGAATGGAATTTTGCTCAGCCACATAACCGAATGAAATTGTACCATTTGTGACAAAGGGGATGGATCTCAAAGGTATTATGCTCTGGGAAAAATGTTAATCAGAGAAAGACAAATACCACATGATTTAATTCATATTTGGAATATACAAACTAACACAAAACAAAGCAGATACAGACTCATAGATACAGACAGGAAACTGGTGGTCATCAGAGGGGAGGAGGTAGGGGAATGGATGAAATAGGTGAAGGGGATTAAGAAGTACAACTTCCACTTATAAAATAAATAAGTCACAGTTATGTAATGTACAGCATAAGGAACAGAGGCAGTAACATTTCAACAACTTTATGATGACAGATAGTTGCTGGTCTTATCATGGTGATCAATTCGTAATGTATTAAATGTTGAATCGCTATTTTTTACATCTTAAACTAATAAAATATCAAATGCTAGCTATACTTTCCTAAAAAATAATATAGAAAAAAAGGTAAGAGCCTTGCACATTGTTTAGGCTGGTTGACTTTTCGAACCTCAGTACCCTCCTTTGGAAAGGTGGGGTACGCTGCAGAATTTCTTCATAGAGTTATGGCTAGAAAATGAATTTAAAAATTCATTTTCGATTTTTGCATGGTAACTTGTGCGTTTTGAAATGCTTTTTTTCAAGTGGGTTGGTAACTTGTGCATATAACTCTGGCCATTTTATCAGTTCCCTCTCCTTCAGATCCCAAGTGTGTTCCAGTGCAAGAAGCATGTCTTACTCATCTTTATCTATTCATTTTATACCAATGTGTCTGATACATACTATGGGCCTGTAAAAGTTTGCTAAATGAATTAATGAATGATTCTTTCCTCTTTCAGCTCTACAATGCTTTCCCCTTTTTAATACATTATCTCCCAGGAAGTCATAACACAATATTTAAAAACATAATTGAGCAAAGAAAGTTCATTTTCGAGAACATAAAGAAACACCAAGAATCCCTTGACCTCAGTAACCCTCAAGACTTTATTGATTACTTCCTGATTAAAATGGAAAAGGTATAACGTGACCCTGATTTGCTCCTTCATCTTTGTGGGCGATGGGATGTGGCTCATGGAATAGCTTGGTTCTTCTCAGTGAAACGGCTATATTAAAACAAACGCTCCTTCTTAAAGATATACTAATTGCTTGTGCAACCTCTTGCTTGTGGAAACCATAGTGGATGTCCTGAGATATTTCTAAATTCTCACTGAGAATGACCTGGAAGATTTTATATTTACCATGTCAAAGCTGATTCTTTATTTGGGGATAGATGGAAACACACACACAACTTCAAGATTAATGATAGAAAGCATGTTCTCTTTCATAAAATAAATTCCATGAATGGAGAATGTAACAAATGAGAGAACGCAGGAATGGGTTGGAATCTAGAAGGGCTTACCCTCAGAAAGGCTCTAGGAAACAGGTGAGGTAGGGTTTGAGGGAACCGTGGCTTCGATTAGCAGAGATGACAAAATGGGTTCAGGGAATGACAAGTGCGGTGATCAAGTGTGTGGAATTGCAAACAATTATCTTGATCATAACTGAGGAACTCTCATGGTTGCAATGACTTTTGAATTTGGAAATAGTGATGTAGTTTGTAGGTGGGTAGTTCTAGAGCCTTGAGGGAGAAATTTAGATGTGATGAAACAGAAAATAGATGCCTGAATTGACCGTGAATAGCAGCGATGACATGTAAGACTCAAGTTAGAAATAAATTATTGAAGAATTGATTTGCTCTGGTGGGGGAGAAAGTGAAGACTCAGAAAGGAACTGTTGGAAGTTTGTAACTCTGATTATATTTTAACTGTTTAAAAGGAGTCCTAACAACTCATGTAACTTTACCTTCAGCCATAGCACTCTCTAATGTCTAGCTTAATTTGTCAAATAAGCAAATTCAGCAAGTAATGATGTTATATTGAATTACTATATGTTACTTCTGAGACTCTTTTATTTATCAAGTAATCCCCAACACATCATTCCTAGGAAAAGCACAATAAGCAGTCTGAATTTACCATGGACAACTTGATCACTACCGTATTGGATGTATTTACTGCTGGAACAGAGACAACAAGCATGACTTTGAGATATGGACTCCTGCTCCTGCTGAAGCACCCGGAGGTCACAGGTATGGTCACAGATGATGGACAGAATGCAATTTTGGGTAGAAATTGGCAGGCAACCCTGATGACGATTCTACTCTTCACCTGTCTAGAAAATGTACCTGAGAAACTTCCATCGTTAGTACATCCTCCTACCACTGGATGAATTCAGTTCAAGTCACATGGTGGTACAAAAAGAGAGTGAAATATTTAA